GAAAGTAATATCTGACACCGAGTTAACGCTGGACAAGGATCCCGGTTTAGTTGGCGTTAGGAGTGACAGGGATGCCGGTACCTTTAGTGTATTTTGCTGAGGTTGAGGTCTAGGCTGCTGCTGCTGCTGCATCATGTATTCGAAGGATTGGTGAATTAAGTCGCTGGTTCGGCGAGTTCGTACTTGTAAAGCGTGCCTTTCAAGTGCCACAGGCTTCTCTTTACTTGAGTAGAAGATTGCGATGTGCTCAAACTGCACCGTGGCTGCACTCCAACAGCAAAACGTCTCTTGATAAACTCTTAAACCTAGCATAGATTCGCTCATCTTTACTGGAGTCACAGCTACCGAGGCTCCGAAGCCCACCTGTTGATTTTGAGGTAGTTGAACTTGTGGAAGTGGGACCGATGGCTGTTGAGTGGATTGAATGAGCTCTAAGGCCAGTTTTCTCGGAGGTGTTAGTGCGGCGACAAGACAAAGCAACGTAGCGTAGGCCTTGCAGCATGGTGTTAAGACCTCCTTTGTAATGCCATGAGAACAGAGCATGCTGGAAAGCATCTCATCAATGTAAGTAAACAGAATTATTAATCGGACATGCCTTCCATTGGACCGCACTTGTTGACGAACACAGGCAAGATGTAAAATGGAGGAGTCATTGTCTTCAATGGGCAGAAGCATGGAGAAAATCTCCTCCAACCACTTTGCATGGTTCACCAAGGAGGACTTGGCGAGTGAATCGCAAGTGAAAGGAACCATTTCCAAGTTTGCCTTAAAACTATTGACTAAACGATGAACAAGTTGGAGGTTGGACGGACGTTTCATGACCCACTCGTCTATTCCCATGAGAAAAGAACTTCGAGCGCCATTGAGATTGAGAGTCAAGTTGAATACTGGTGGCTCCTCTGCAGGTCCGAGAGGAATGAGAATCAACGATCGACGCTGAGGTTGAGGGACACTTATTCCACTTGTTGCATTGTTGTTCACATTCATCAGCATATTACACTAAAATTTGGACTTTTTGAAGGCAACTTCATCCCTTGCAACAAAAAAACAAATAATTCATTAAATTATTAATCCAATCACAAATAAATGCAATTGGAACTGTGTTTAATATCGACAGTCACTGGCATTTGTGTTTTTTTATCTTTACTGTCTATCTAATCGCTTCTGCTACGTAAATAGGCTGTGATAAAAAAAAACTAACTTAAGTATCAAATAAGGTAAACAGTGAGGAGAGGCATTAAAAACAGGA